GAAAGAGTTTCGAGGGCGGAAAGTCACTCAGACAGTACGCGGTGGGCTGGGTTCATGAACCCCGGAAGACTCACCCAGCCCTTGCCTGAGGCCCCTGCCAGCACCAGTCCCATCGGTTGTCAGGTCAGGTAAGGATCATCCTCCCTTTCTGCAGGTGGGAAAAACTGAGGCGCGGAGAGGCAACACCACCTGTCCCAGGGTACCGAGCAGAGGTGGTCTTGAACTCTGCACAGTGCCATGTTGCCTAGTCCCTGAGCACCGCACAGAGGTGCAGGTACCCCCAGGAACGGCTCCAGGCCCTGGTGGGTGAGACCAAGGGCTTCCACTCAGAGGAAGTGAGAGGCTGCTGCCTGTGAAAGAAGAAGTGAAGTGGGAGTGTGGTGTGCTGGCGTGGGGTGGGGAGGACAGGGAGAAGTGAAGTGCGCGTGGGCCGCGGGGTGAGCAGTCGCAGCCCCCAGCTCATATCGCCGGACTTCCCCTTCTTTCTGCAGAAGCAGCAGGACAGCGGCTGAGACCGGAGCGGAGACGGCAGCAGCGTCAGAGGTCAGCCCCTTTGGGCTTCCCCCAACTCTATCCTTATCCGCATGCCCCCAGTGGGACGTGCCCAGGTGACCACAGACCTGGTCACATCCTTGGAGCAGCAAGGTGGGGAACCACCTTCATTTCCTTTCTGGGTGTCAGCTCCAAAGCTGGGGGGACGTAGAGCTCTGTTTCTGCAAGAAGAGACTGTGTAAATGAAGGGGCAGTTAGGCACTAGGTTCAAATCTTATCTGTCCCATGCGGCCTCGGGCAAGTGACTGGGTCTTTCTTTGCTGGATCTCCCTCAGTTTCCTCACCTGTAAAATGCGGTTAGGCAGGTAACCTTCTCCTGGGGTGATGGGTGAGAGGCTCAGGACCTCAGTACAGGGCCTGGCATAGAGCCTGTGCTCGGCAGACTGGGGCGGCTCCTCTTGGATGACCCGGATTGAGGCCTGAGAACAGAGTCTCAGGGAAATGGCCCTGGTGCCGGCGTGGTCAGACTCCCTGTGGGCTTGGGCGGACCTCCCTTTGTCCACCTGAGAAATAGGGTTAGTGAGAACATCTCTTGCCCAGGCCATGGGGAAGCCAGAGGCGGGGGCTCCAGGTTCTGGGTGACAGTGGCAGCTCTTTTTTGGAAGCAAGTGGGGCCATGTGAAGGCCAGAGGCTACTGGGGAGAGGGTGGGTATTGGGAGTGTGGTCGTTTCTGGGACGAAGGCAGCGGTTCCCAAGCTCATGCTTAGGTGTGTTCCCTGGCTGGTGACTGGTCAGAGCCCTAGACCTGGGTCAAGGCCTGGTTTCCAGGAATATGAATGATGAAAATGGTAGTTTGAGTCTCTCTGGTCTCATTTTTACAGATGAGGAAACCTAAGGCACAGAGAGGTCAAGTGCTTGCTTGGTGTCACACAGCCTAGGCACTGAATACCAGTGCTGGTTATCACATGGCATCTTCCCCAAGCTCTGTGCTGTGCTTCACGGCTCATCTCTCTGTTGGTCTTACTTGCCCACACAGCAACTCAGCTACCCAACCATCCTTGGGAGGCTGCAGCATGTGGTGGGGTGGAGCACTGGACTTGGAACCTGGAGCCCTGGGTTCAAGTCCCAGCTTGACCACTAGGCTGCTGTAGAAACCCAAGCAAACTCCTTCTTTGTGCAGAATTCAGTTTTCCCACAGTCAGTTGGAACCATCTCTGAAGTCAGGTATAGGATTCCTATTTCCCAAAGGACCCCAAATAACGAGGTGCAGATTTGGGAACAAGGTGGCCCAGCCTGTAGGGTGATGGTGGCCTCTCTGAAGGGGTAGGATGGAGGATGCCGGAGGTCGCAAGCAGAAGTGAAGATTGTGGTTTACTCCTGGGGAAAGGGGTGGAAACCACAGCTTCTATCTGGGGCGCTTGGGACGGGGGAGGTGTCACTTCTGCTTTGGCCTCGATTTCCCCAGTAGTGTGGTGGGGTCAGGCTCTGTTACCTCAGTGCCTGCCCGGGAGCAGTGTGGCTAAGGGCCTGGGCACCTGGAGATCAAATCCATCCACCTGTTAGGGGCTCAGTTTCCCCATTTAGTACAGTGACGGGGTGGACCAGCTGGCCTTCTGTGCTGTCACGTTCTCCATTACTGAGGGCTCATCTGAAACACCAGATGTCAAATGATTTCGTTCAGCAACTTCTGTTGTCCCCCAGACTTTTTTCCTTGCCTTTTCTCTACAGTTCTCATAAGGTAAGTGAATCACCCAAGGTAACACAGTCAGATAAATACCTGAGCCGATGAAACCATTCTGTGATTCCCAAGTCTTTATTTCTCCCCCTTCTCCTCCTCATCCTTCTCTTTCTCCTCCTCCTCTTTCTTCTTTTTTTAGATTTATTTATTTATTTATTTATTAGGTTTTTGCCATAGTGCACGTGTGCTTGCTAAAGAGAGACAGAGAGAGAGAAAGTGAGAAATCACCGGGGTGGGGGGTACGGCCATGCCACAGTCTCTCCTCCATTCTCCTCTTAGGATTTTGGGCATGCATGCACACGTGCCCAGTGTGGCTTGCTTTCTTCTTTTTAGGTTTTTGCTATAGGACACGTGCACTCTCCAGAGAGAGGGAAAGTGAGGAATAACCTCCCCAGGGGGGATGGCCACGTTGTAATCCCTTCTCCTACACTGTCCTTCTGGGATTTGGGGCACATACACACATGCACCCAGTGTGATTTTCAAGCCGCCAGGTCAGGGACTCAAATGACAGTCAGCCATATGGGAGTCCAACGCTTTAACTACCACGCCACCTGGCTGGCCTGTTCTTTGATTTTCTTAAATCTGATTTCCAGAAGTATATGTACAATAAAATGTACTCTTTGGAAAGAAGTTGGATGAGTTTTGACAAATGTGTACAGTCATGTTTGCATGTATGAGAGGGTCTTCAAAAAGTACGTGAAAATGCATATGATAAAAACCGGATTTTAAGGTTATTTTGCACCAAGGTTTATAGTTTGATTCCATTTTCCCACAAACTCTTTGAAGTCCCTGTAATATCAAAATAAAGATTTAGAACATTTCCATTGTCCTAGAAATTTGCCTCGTGCCCTTCTATAGTCAGTATCTTTTCCTCACTCCCTGGGAACGACCGATCGAGTCTCTGACCCCATAGCTTTGACTTTTCTAGGTGATCGTATAATGGACTCATAAGGCAGAGAGTCTTGTGTGTCTGGCTTCTTTCACTTAGCGTGACGATTTTGAGATCCATCCATGCATTGCTTATTTCAACAGTTCACTCCTTTTATCGCTAAAGAGTATTCCGTGGTATGGATATACCACAGCCTACTTTCACCACTTGGTGGGTATTTGTGTTGTTTCTAGTTTTGGGCTATTGTGAATAAAGCTGCATATGAGCATTTGCATATAGAAGTCTTTTTGTGAACAAATGTTTTCATTTTTCTTGGGTAAATACCTGGAATTGGAATTGCTGTCCCAGTGCCTGAAAGTTGCATAGTGGTTAGGTGCTGGACTCCGATATGGCTGACCACAGTTCAAGTCCCAGACCTGGAGGCTTGAAAATCTCTCCAGTCATGTGTACATATGCCCAGAATTGCAGGAGCAAGGACCAGCAGTTAGAGCAATGGCTATGTTGCTGAACTCCCATGTAGTCGACCGTGGTTCGAGTCCTGGACCCGGTGGCTTAAACTCACGCTGGGTGCGTGTGCGTGCGTGCCCAAGATCCCAAGAGGAGAATGGAGGAGAAGGGATTGCGGCATGACCATCACCCATGAGGGATGACTTCTCGCTTTCTGTCTCTCTGTTTCTCTCTGTCTTTCTGGGGAGCAGACGCGCCCTATAGCAGGGGAGAAACGCGCCCTATAGCAAAAACCGCCCCAAAAAAAAAAAAAAAAATCACAGGAGGAGAAGAGATGGTAGTGAGACTGTCTCCCCTGGGAGGGCGATCTCCCATTCTCCCTCCCTCTGTCTCTCTCTGTCTCTCTCCAGCTTGCGCACAGGCCCTGTGTTAAAAACCTAAAACAAAGTGGCTGTCCTGTTTTGCACTCCCTCCAGAAATGTAGGAGAGTTCCAGCTGTTCCATATCCTCAACGACACTTGGTATTAACAGTCATTTTAATCTCACCATTCTAGAAGGTTGTCGTGATACCTCATTGTGCCTTTTGCCACCGGCATCGCTTTTTCCATAAAGTGACTGTTCGATCCTTTCCTACACTTTTCATGAAGTTGTCTTTCTTTTTCCTTTTTTAAAGGTGTATGAGTTCTTTGTAAGTTTTTAAAAAATCAGATACAGGTTTGCAAATATTTCCTCCCACTCTGTGGCTTGTCTTCTCATAGTCTTAATGCAGACCTTCAAATAGCAGAGGTTTTGAACTTTGATGAAATCTAATTTATCTTTTTTTTTTTTCTTTAATGGATTGTGGTTTTGGTGTTGTTTCTAAGAAATCTTTGTCTAAATCAAAATCAGGAAGATTTTCTCCATTTTTTTTCCCCTAGGAAGTTTATAGCTTTAGTTTTGATATTTGGATCTATGGTCCATGTTGAGTTCATTTTTTTTTTTCTTGGCATCCAATTGTTTCAGACATTATTAAAGACTACCCTCTCCACTGAACCACCTTTGCATCTTTGTGGGAAGTCAGGGGCTGCAGGCGCCCGACCTCGGCTTTTATGGTCTGGTAAGTCTATTACCAGGCGGCCACTGCTCTTCGGCCTCGGAGCTTTGCTCATCTCTCCTTTGTCAGCTGCTGTCTTCTTTCCCACCATTCTTTGTGGCTTTTAAAAATGTAATTTCATCTTTTTAGAGAGGTTTTCATTTTTGAGGTTTTTTTTTTTTTTTTTTAAGGTTTTTTTTTTTTTGTTTTTTTTTTTTTTTTTTTTTTTTTTTTTTTTTTTTGCTATAGGGTGCATGTGCTTGCCGGAGAGACAGAAAGTGAGAAATCACGCCCCTCCCCCCCGGGGGGGTTGGCCATGCCGCAATCCCTTCTCCTCTCAGGATTTTGGGCAGGCACACACAAGCTGCCAGGTTCAGTACTCGAACCACGGCTGACTACATGGGAGTCCAGGGACAAAACCGTCACACCATCTGTTGGTCCCTCTTTGTGCCTTTTGCTTGTTTTACACCTTCACTGTCTTTTTAGTGGAGTGTCAGGGAGTACACATACATCTACTGTATTTAAGCAGAAGTTTATTAGTTTGTTTTTAAAATTGAGGAAAGTGAGGGCAGAGAGTGACAGACCTTTACCCAAAGCCACACAGCAAGTTAATGACAGGGCAGAGCAGGGTGGCAGGTGGTTGTCCCCAAGCAGCTCCCCACTGGGTGAGGTTGGGACCCTGGAGAGCCCTCGCAAAGATAGTGTTTTGGGAGGGGCCGTGTCTCGAACAGACCTGCTCCTGGCAGTCAGGACCCAGTGCTCAAGGATTCTGGAGCCCCGGGGACGCGGCTTCAAGTAACTTCAAGCAAAGTGAGACCTTTCGGCCCCTGAGCCTTGGTTTCCCCGTCTGGGAAATGAGCAGTGAGGGCCAGCGAGGGAGCTGCGTCGGCTACTGGGATGTGGCTACCGGGATGTGCCGCTGCGGGGAGTCAATGTCTTCCCCACAGTGACGAAGCGTCACCTTTTCCAGGGCGGGAGCCCGTTGGTGGAGCAGACCCGGGGCGCAGGGCATGGATTGCTCTGGGGCCCTTCTCCTCTGCCTGTGTCTTCTGACTGCTCGGAGCGGGACAGCAGGTGAGAGAGCTCAGCTGAGCAGGGGCAGGCCTAGCCCAGGCCCCAGACTGCGCCGCGAGAGTGGAGGCCTCAGACCAAGGGAGATTGAAAAGGTCTGCCTGTGGGGTGGCTCTGTGGCCTGGTGGGTAAGGCAGCCGGATACCACATGGCTGACCCTACGATCTGAATCCTGGGCGGGGTGATTTGTAAAACTTGCCAAGTGCTTGTGTGTGCATGCCCAAAACCCCAAAAGGAGGGCTACGGGCTCTCTGTTTCTCTCTAGTGAGCGCACACACCCTCTGGGAAAATAAAAACAAAAAAAGAAAAGAAAGAAAAAGGAGAGAGAGAAAGGTCACTTGGACTGCCTGGGGGTGGCAGCATGGTGAGCTAGAGGTCTCAGGACGGAAGGCCTAGGGCTGTGGGCTAGAGGCAGCTGAGAACTCAAGCTGGGGACTCTTGCTGCCCACAGAGACACTGGAAGAACTCCAGCGCTGGATCGAGAACATAGAGAAACCCAGGAGCCGAGCACTGGCTTTTCCCAGGGGGTGAGTGAGTTGTCCGCTCATGGCTCAGTCAGCTGTGGCCCGGGGCTGTCCCAGCGTAGGCTCCTAGCCATTCATTTATTCATTGTGCTTTTATTAAGTACCTACTGTGTGCCTAGCACTAGGTCCCAGAGATGTTCTTACCCTCATGGAGTTTATTTTCTAGAGTGGGGGTCTCTAGTTATGGGTGCCGTGAAACCAGATGCAGAATTGTAGGCCTCTCCATTTTCCTAGGAAGGAGACTCTAAGATCGTAATTGGGCTCTGAGTGAGAGGTTGATGATTGGCTAAGGCTAAGAGTTCTGACTGGGACATTTCACTTAGGAGCAGTCAGGAAAGGCTTCCTGGAGGAGGCAATAACAAATTGGGACCTGAACAAGAGTTACTCAGGACAAGGGATGGGTGGGGTGGAGAGGTAAGAACATCCCAGGAATGGTGTCCATGCAAAAGTCTGAAGGAGGGAGTAACAGGAGTGTGGAATGGGGAGGCCCTGTCCTTCAGACCACCCAGAGGCCCCTCTCACCCTCGCCCCCACTCTGAGCTCTGCCTTCTCTGGCCTCAGGCAAGTCCGTGCCCTGGAGCAGAAACTGCTGAAAGCTGACTTTCAGGGCCCCAGGCTGACCTTGCGGACGGACATCATCCAGTCTCTGGTCTTCAAGCTGGACTGCAACTTCACAGGCCTCTCACTGAGCAGCGACTCCCTGGAGCAGAACCCCAAGGTAAGAGGTGACCGGGGCATGGGGTGGCCAACTGCTTCTGCCCCAGAAGTCCCACAGAAGTTTAAGATATGGTTTCCCTGGGCTCTGCCATCCACCTCCACCCCCACCCCTGCCCAGTACAGGCTCATCCCCAAAGTGCCAGAGTTGCCTGTAAAATGGGGTGGCACTGCTGTGGGACTAGGGCAGGGGAGGTGCTCTGTGGCCCCTCCATGGCCGTGTCTTCCTGCTTTTGCCTGAAGTTGGGTGGAGGGCAGGGTGGAGGGCATTCCCCAGGGACGGCTGCAGTGGGAGAGGCCAGGTGGTCCTGCTTCCTGTAGGACCCTGCTGTTAGGCCTGCCAGATGTCTGGTGGTGACACGCTGGGTGCTGCGCTGGCTCCATGCCAGGGCCCTGTGAGTGGGGCAGATAACCCAAACCCAAGCCTGGCACAGCGTGGAGGGAAGGCCTGGGATCTCGGGAAGATTGGGAGGAAGCACGTCCTGGGCTTCCAAGAGGGCTCCCCTTCTTGCAAATAGAGGCTCTGAGGAAGGGGATACCCAGGGGTGGGCTGGGGAGTGGGGGCGGTGAAGGAGCAGGAGCTGGGTCTGCCGGCCTTGGACACCAGACTCAGCTGCCTAGGCCCCTTGCAGGCCCAGCCCTCGCACGCCATGGAGCTCCCTGCGGAGCTGACTCAGGCCGCCTGCGTGACCAGCCACAGGAAGCTGCGGCTCATCTGCGTTTACTTCTCCAGCACCTTCTTCTTCCAGGTCAGCGGGATGGTGGGCCCAGGAGGGTAGGCACTAACCCCTCCCTAGGAGCGCTGCAGGTACCCTTGCCACCACATGGCTTCTGGATGGGGACCAGGACCAGGTGGGCCCAGCCCACTGTGCACGCTGAGCCAGGCATTGCCCGTCTCTGGCTGGAGCCCTGAGAAACCGAGCAGGTGCCTGGGCAGGAGACAGGCCAAAGGCACAAGGCCCTGCCCTCGGAGAACGCTCTGTCTTCACATGCAGATCAGGACCTCTGAGGTGGAGGGTTAATACCTCGTTGACTGACTATAGAGAAAAAAAGTGACAGCGTAGTTGGGATGAGGTCACTGTGTCCCCAGTGTGCAGTGCAGGAGGGCTTCTGGAGGAGATGCCTTTCCACCCTGGCTTTGAAAGTGAGTTAGGATAGTGGAGAGGCGGGGTCTGAGACTGAGATGTACTAAATGTGCAAAGATGGGGGCAGCCCTGCCGTGCATGTGAAAGGCAGGAAGACCGGGCTGAGGAAGGAGGGCTCAGGCTTCCATCAGGGTATTCCCGTGTCCCTTCCCTCAACCCTTCCTCTGCTGCCCTTCCAGGATGACGACAACTCATCCCTGCTCAATAACTATGTCCTGGGGGCCCAGCTGGACCACGGACACGTGAGCAACCTCAGGGAGACGGTCAACATCAGTTTCTGGCACAACCAGAGCCTGGTACTGTGGGGGGCACCCCCTTCCCTTCCCATCCTTCCCCCCTGCGGAAGCTCACTGGGAGGACTGTGCATTCTTAATTGTGTCCCATCTTTTCACGGTGCCCATGGCAACCCCCTCCCCTGCAAGAGAATGCCCTTGCTCTAGGGCCAGCAGGTGGCGTGGTGGGGAAGGCGTTGGTCTCCCACATGGCCGACTATGGTTTGAGTCTCAGACCTGATGGCTTGAAAATCACACTGGGAGTATGTGCGTGCGTGCCCCAGATCCTGAGAGGAGAGCGGAGAAGAAAGGATTACAGTGTGACCATCCCACGCGGAGAGTGATTTCTCACTTTCCCTCCCTCTGTCTTTCTCTGATGCATGAACATGCCCTATGGCAAAAAGCTAAAAAATAATAGCAGAATGCCCTTGGCTTCATTTCTGTGACTGCCTGGGGACACCCTTGCCCCTTCCTTGTGGTTTGCTGTGGCACTGCTGTGCCCTTTCCCCACCCTCCACTCACACCGCTTCCTTCAGAGCTGCCTATGGATAAGCCTATCTGCCCCCACTAGCCTTGGGTCTGAGCCATGGCTGTCCCCACAGGGAGGACCTGCAAGGGCATTGCTGGGCTGTGCCTACCTGCTGTGTAAAGTCCAGACCTGGGCACTCAGGATTCCACAGTGCTTTTTTTTTTTTTCTGGCCTCAGGCAAGTCCGTGCCCTGGAGCAGAAACTGCTGAAAGCTGACTTTCAGGGCCCCAGGCTGACCTTGCGGACGGACATCATCCAGTCTCTGGTCTTCAAGCTGGACTGCAACTTCACAGGCCTCTCACTGAGCAGCGACTCCCTGGAGCAGAACCCCAAGGTAAGAGGTGACCGGGGCATGGGGTGGCCAACTGCTTCTGCCCCAGAAGTCCCACAGAAGTTTAAGATATGGTTTCCCTGGGCTCTGCCATCCACCTCCACCCCCACCCCTGCCCAGTACAGGCTCATCCCCAAAGTGCCAGAGTTGCCTGTAAAATGGGGTGGCACTGCTGTGGGACTAGGGCAGGGGAGGTGCTCTGTGGCCCCTCCATGGCCGTGTCTTCCTGCTTTTGCCTGAAGTTGGGTGGAGGGCAGGGTGGAGGGCATTCCCCAGGGACGGCTGCAGTGGGAGAGGCCAGGTGGTCCTGCTTCCTGTAGGACCCTGCTGTTAGGCCTGCCCGATGTCTGGTGGTGACACGCTGGGTGCTGCGCTGGCTCCATGCCAGGGCCCTGTGAGTGGGGCAGATAACCCAAACCCAAGCCTGGTACAGCGTGGAGGGAAGGCCTGGGATCTCGGGAAGATTGGGAGGAAGCACGTCCTGGGCTTCCAAGAGGGCTCCCCTTCTTGCAAATAGAGGCTCTGAGGAAGGGGATACCCAGGGGTGGGCTGGGGAGTGGGGGCGGTGAAGGAGCAGGAGCTGGGTCTGCCGGCCTTGGACACCAGACTCAGCTGCCTAGGCCCCTTGCAGGCCCAGCCCTCGCACGCCATGGAGCTCCCTGCGGAGCTGACTCAGGCCGCCTGCGTGACCAGCCACAGGAAGCTGCGGCTCATCTGCGTTTACTTCTCCAGCACCTTCTTCTTCCAGGTCAGCGGGATGGTGGGCCCAGGAGGGTAGGCACTAACCCCTCCCTAGGAGCGCTGCAGGTACCCTTGCCACCACATGGCTTCTGGATGGGGACCAGGACCAGGTGGGCCCAGCCCACTGTGCACGCTGAGCCAGGCATTGCCCGTCTCTGGCTGGAGCCCTGAGAAACCGAGCAGGTGCCTGGGCAGGAGACAGGCCAAAGGCACAAGGCCCTGCCCTTGGAGAACGCTCTGTCTTCACATGCAGATCAGGACCTCTGAGGTGGAGGGTTAATACCTCGTTGACTGACTATAGAGAAAAAAAGTGACAGCGGAGTTGGGATGGGGTCACTGTGTCCCCAGTGTGCAGTGCAGGAGGGCTTCTGGAGGAGATGCCTTTCCACCCTGGCTTTGAAAGTGAGTTAGGATAGTGGAGAGGCGGGGTCTGAGACTGAGATGTACTAAATGCGCAAAGATGGGGGCAGCCCTGCCGTGCATGTGAAAGGCAGGAAGACCGGGCTGAGGAAGGAGGGCTCAGGCTTCCATCAGGGTATTCCCGTGTCCCTTCCCTCAACCCTTCCTCTGCTGCCCTTCCAGGATGACGACAACTCATCCCTGCTCAATAACTATGTCCTGGGGGCCCAGCTGGACCACGGACACGTGAGCAACCTCAGGGAGACGGTCAACATCAGTTTCTGGCACAACCAGAGCCTGGTACCGTGTGGGGCACCCCCTTCCCTTCCCATCCTTCCCCCCTGCGGAAGCTCACTGGGAGGACTGTGCATTCTTAATTGTGTCCCATCTTTACACGGTGCCCATGGCAACCCCCTCCCCTGCAAGAGAATGCCCTTGCTCTAGGGCCAGCAGGTGGCGTGGTGGGGAAGGCGTTGGTCTCCCACATGGCCGACTATGGTTTGAGTCTCAGACCTGATGGCTTGGAAAACACACTGGGAGTAGTATGTGCGTGCGTGCCCCAGATCCTGAGAGGAGAGCGGAGAAGAAAGGATTACAGTGTGACCATCCCACGCGGAGAGTGATTTCTCACTTTCCCTCCCTCTGTCTTTCTCTGATGCATGAACATGCCCTATGGCAAAAAGCTAAAAAATAATAGCAGAATGCCCTTGGCTTCATTTCTGTGACTGCCTGGGGACACCCTTGCCCCTTCCTTGTGGTTTGCTGTGGCACTGCTGTGCCCTTTCCCCACCCTCCACTCACACCGCTTCCTTCAGAGCTGCCTATGGATAAGCCTATCTGCCCCCACTAGCCTTGGGTCTGAGCCATGGCTGTCCCCACAGGGAGGACCTGCAAGGGCATTGCTGGGCTGTGCCTACCTGCTGTGTAAAGTCCAGACCTGGGCACTCAGGATTCCACAGTGCTTTTTTTTTTTTAATTGCCAGAGGGCTTGTGCACTCATCAGAGAGAGAGACAGAGAGATGGAGAGGAAGAAAGCAGCCCGCAATGGGGCATGGTCACGCTGCAACCCCTTCTCCACTTCTCCATCCTGTTGGGTTTAGGGCATGCGTGCCTGGTGTGTCTTTAAGCCACTGGGGCCCAGGAGTTGAGCCGCAGCCGGTCATGTGGGATCTTGCTGCCTTAACCACGAGGCTGTGGGGCAGACCTCACATTGCCTTTCATTTTTCCACCGTCCAAATGGCTTGGGTGTAGATGATCCCAATTAAAAAAATTATTTGTTGTTATTATTATTTTTAATTTGACCAGAGAGAGAAAGGGAAAGTGAGACAGTGAGCCACCAGGTCTTGGACTCGGATCACAGTCAGCCATGTGGGAGTCTAACACCTCACCCACTGCGCCACCTACCGACCCCAGATGATCCCATTTTGTCCATCAAAGAACTGAGGCTCTGAAAAACTTGGCAACTTGCTCGGATTACTCTGCGAGTCAGTCCCTAGTGTGGGTGGGGCTGGAATCCAGGACTGTCTGAAGTCAAAGCCCAGCCAGTGTCTTGGAGAGTATTGACAAGTGTGCTGAGTCACCGTTAGCCCCCATGACTCCCAGACCCTGATCTGCGGCCATTGTCTGCACTCTCTTGATGCCAGTATCTCCCCTCAGGAAGACTACACAGTGACCTGTGTCTTCTGGAACGAGGGAGCCAGCAAGCATTACTGGGGGGCCTGGAGCCCCGAGGGTTGTCGCACAGAGCAGCCTTCACGTTCCCAGGTGCTCTGCCACTGTAACCACCTCACCTACTTTGCTGTTCTCATGGTATGCATGCACCAACCTGGGTGAGGGGCCAGAGCTGCAGAGGGCCCATGTCTGTGTCAGAGCAAGGCAAAAGTTGTGCAAGGGACAGACAGTCTGATTCAAATAGAAAAAAAGGGGGAATAAAAAGAAACTTATGAGCTTGCATTTCTGAGAAGGCTGGGGTTAAGTTTCAGGCATGGTTTGATCCAGGAGCTCAATATCACTCAGACAGGATTCTCTGTCTCTCAGCTGTGCTTGTTCTGTGCTGGCTTAGGCCTCAGACAGAATTTTCCCGTAGGGTAATAATAATAATCTCACGTTTAGGCCAGTGGAGTGGAAGTTTCTCTTACTCAGTCCTGCCAGCCAGTCGTGGGGTTGAGTCCTATCTGCATAACGTGTGTCACGTGCTCATCCCTGATCGGCCACTGTGGTTAGGAGGTGGGGGGGCTCTGGTAGGCCGGGGCTGGTGCACCTGTCTGCGCACAGACGGAGAAGTGGTGGGCCCACTGGTGTGGTGGGAGTGAGGAAGGGAAGGGTCTCAAAGAAGGAGAGATGGGCACTGTGGGAGCCAGAAGGGAAGTCGCCATGCCTTCCCTGGCCTCAGGCAAACCAGGATTGGGGCCGCACTCATGGGAAGGGGACTTGAAGCTGGGGTCTCGGGAGGTCTCTCCGAATGAGCCCTGGGAGGGCATTTCCACCCTTCTGGCCTGCAGCGCCCCCTCCCTCCCGCAGCAATTCTCCACGGCCCCGGTCCCTGCAGAGTTGCTGGCGCCTCTCACGTACATCTCCCTGGTGGGCTGCAGCATCTCCATCGTGGCCTCGCTGCTCACTGTCCTGCTGCACTTCCAGACCAGGTACACCCCAGTTGTGCACCAGCCTGCCCATCCCACCCCTCTCAGCACAGCCTTCTGGTCCTCGTGGTCCCCGAGCAGGGTGGGCCTCTTCAGAGGGTGGGGCGGGAGGCAGGGTGCCAGTGACTGCTGTGCGTCCTGGCCGTAGTTTGTCCATTGTGGAGGTGTCTCTGTGAGCCCAGAGGGTGCACTGCATGAGCCCCAGGGCCATGGAGGGCCATGCTCCCACCCGTAGGAAGCAGAGTGATTCCATAACACGCATCCACATGAACCTGCACACCTCCGTGCTGGGCCTGAACGTCGCCTTCCTGTTGAGTCCCGAGCTGGCCATGCCCCCCGTGCCCCAGGCTGCATGCACGGTGCTGGCCGCCATCCTGCACTACATGCTGCTCAGCTGTCTCACCTGGATGGCCATTGAAGGCTTCCACCTCTACCTGCTCCTCGGGCGCGTCTACAACATCTACATCCGCAGATACATGCTCAAGCTCTGTGCAGTGGGCTGGGGTAAGTGCAGCATCTGTCCCCTGCCCCTCCTGAGGCCACCACTACCCATCACCCTCATCTCCAACGCCACCATTGCCACCACCACATCCACTGCCTTCACCTTCAACACCACCATCACCACCACCACTGCCCTCACCTCAAATGCCACTGTGACCACTACTACCACATCCATTACCCTCACCTCCAACACAACCATCACCACCACCTCCACATCCACTGCCCTCACCTCCAATAGCTCCACCACCATCACCACTACCCTCACCTCCAACATCACCATCACCCCTACCACATCTACTGCCCTCACCTCCACCACTATCCTCACTTCCAACACCACCATTGTTACCATGCCACCACGACACTCACCTCCAACATCACCATCACCACCGCCACTACCCTCACTTCCAACACCACCATCACCCCCACCACATCCACTACCACATTCACTACCCTCACCGCCAATACCTCCACCACTGCTGTCCTTACCTCCAGCACTGCCCTCACTTCCAACACCATCATTGACACCACACCATTTCCCTTACCTCCAACACCACCACCACCCTCACCTCTACCACCATTGCCACCACCACTACCTTCGCCTCTAACAGCACCACTACCACCACTGCTACCCTCACCTCCATCACCACCCTTGCCACCACCACTACCCTCACCTCCATCACCACTGTCACCACCACTATATCCACTACCTTTGCCTCCAGTACCACTATCATCACTTCCACTACCCTCACCTCCAACACTATCATCGCCACCATCACTATCCTCACCACCCTCACCTCCAACACTATCATCGCCACCATCACTATCCTCACCACCCTCACCTCCAACACTATCATCGCCACCCTCACTATCCTCACCACCCTCACCTCCAACACTATCATTGCCACCTCCACTGCCCTCACCTCCAATGCTATCATTGCCACCATCACTTCCTCGCCACCAGCACCACCACCTCTGCTACCCTCACCTCTAACACTGCCCCTGCCACCTCCACCACCCTCACTTCCGACACCACCCTCACTGTCACCACTACCTCCACTCTCTTTCCTCTGGCAGAACCAGCACTCCTCTTCCAGCTTGACCATCACTGCTACCACGTCTCCACCTCCACCTCCACTGTTTCTGCCTCTACTTCCGATACCCCCATCGCCTTCATCACCATCACCTCCGTCACCACCACGTCTTTATCCTCATCCTCACCGCTGTCTCACCACTATCGCCGGCACTCCACCCCCCTCTCAGCCACGTTCTTCATGTCTCTATTTCCTCACGTGTTCCCTGACTCTCCCTGTTATTGTAGCTTCCCACAGCTGTCTCCCCTGTGGACCCCCACTCTTGCCACTACCATTCCATCACACAGCCGGAGCCTCAGAATGGCGCCTACCCCACCCTGGCCCAATGGAGTTCTGGTTTAGCAGCCCAGGGACCCATGGACAGCCCTCCTGAGCCTCTGTTCCCCACCCCCCAGGGGTCCCAGCCCTCCTGGTGCTGCCCCTCCTTGCTGCCAAGAGCTCAGTGTATGGACCCTACTCGATCCCCCTCTCTGGCACCCAGGAAAACGGCACAGCCTTCCAGAACACTTCCATGTGAGTACCCTCTGAGCCGTGGCAGCTCCCTGGCTCTGGCTGAGGGCCACGTGGGCCTGGGGCTCTGAACAGGGTATCCCATAGGGCATCCGACAGGCAAAGCGTTGGCCATGGGTCCCATGGGGTGTCTGACGGGCAAGGCGCTGGCCGTGGGTCAGAGGGGGAGCTGTGGCTCCGATAGGGCCAGGTTTCCACGGGACTTTGCTGCCTCCCTCTGCTGGATCCGGGAGGTGTCCTGCCCGGGTGGTCTTGAGTTCTGTGCTAACGCTTGAAAGCCATGGGCCAGACACCAGCACCTCCATGCAGCCGGGCCTGTGCCTCCTGCCAGCTTATGGCCACATAGCGGCCAACCTCCAGGCCCTGCTGGGCCAAGCTTAGCCTGCACCTGGCCTGTCCTCTCTACACTGCCGTGCCTTGCGTGCTCAGGGCCTGACTCTTCTGAGCCCCGCCAGGCATGTGACACCTCTCCCCCTCAGAGGAGAGAGTTAGGGCCTGGGCCGGGGCTGGGGGCAGTGAAGCACTGCGGGATGGGCTTGGCATGTGCAGGGATGCATGGAGAGGTAACAGTGGGGTGCTCGCGGGGCCTGGGGACAGACTGCTACTGTCACTTCCAACCTCTGCTATGTCTCCTGTGTTCTAGGACACGGCATTTTTGATGACCATGACACCATGACACATTTCTTTTTAATTATGGTCAGGCAATTAAATGCTTACCAGAGACAGAGACAGAGGGGGGAGAGGGAGAAAGCACCCCCCATGGGGTGTGGTCATGCCACAATCGCTTCTCCCTCATTTCTCTATCCTGTCAGGATTTAGGGCCTAAATGCACACATACCCAGCATGCTTTTCAAGCTACTGAGGCCAGGAGTTGAACAGCGGTCAGCCATGGGAGATCCAGCTTCCTAACCACTAGGCTATAGGGTCAGCCCTTATGTGACACGTCTCTACAGCCAAATGTAGACTGACCTAAGAAACTCCTGCAGTCCAGCACCGGCTTGCTCACCAAGTCTTGTTTCATTTATTCATTTATTTATTTATCTATTTATTGAGAGATATTTGTTATAGGGTATGTATACTTGCTAGAGACAGAGAGAGACAGAAAGTGAGAAATCACCCTCCCAGGAAGGATGGCCACACTACAATCCCTTCTCCACTCTCCTCTCAGGATTTGGGGCATGCATGCACACACGCCCGGCATGTGGTCAACTACAGGGAAGTCCAACAATGTAACCATTACGCCATCTGCTGGTCCCAGCCCCACGTTCTTTTCCCCGCCTTGACCGACACAAGCTATATTGAGGACAGACCCCCAGCAGGCCTGTGTGTCAGCACCCCTATTCCTCACAGCGAGGGTAGGGCCTGTTGTCAGCCCATTTCACAGCGAGGACAGCTGAGGCACAGGCAGCTCGAGAACCTGCCCAAGGACAGCCAGCCAGTCAGGGTGGAGCTGGGACTTACTCACAGGCTGCTGGCTCTAGAGCCCACCCCGTCACCACTGCGCCCCACATCCCTCAGGCACCAAGAGGGGAGATGAGATAAGCCCCTTTGCTGCGAGGGTCCAGCTGATGTCTTAGTGGGGACGTGGCTCTGGTCCCTGCAGAGATGGAGGCTGTCATACAATATGTGACATGGACAGAAGGGCTGAAGTGACACACCCATGGGACAGGAAGCACATTCATGTATGGACATTCAAGGGTTCCCACCCAAGGGGAGTGTCTCCCCAAGTCCTCCTTGCTCTCCCTCTCCCCTCAGGAAACAATGACCCTGAATTTTGTGACTTTTATTCTTTTTTTTTTTTTTTTTTACAGAGAGATTTTTTGCTATAGGGTGTATGCACTTGTTGGAGAGACAGAGAAAGACAGAGAGACAGAGAGAAATCACCTCCCAGGATGGCTATGCCACAACCCCTTCTCCATTCTCTCGGGATGTGGAGCGTGCACACACACGCACCCGGCTTCAGTTTCAAGCCTCTAGGTCTAGGACTTGAACCACGGTCGGCCATGTGGTAGTCCAGCGACATAACCATTATGCCATCTGCTGGTCCTGTAACCTTTATTCTTACGCTTTAAAAATCGCTTGCTAGATATACATGTAGTCCTAAGCACAAACAATCCTAAAAAAACAAAGCCACCCTCGGAAGTCATTCAGGTGTCTGCTGACAGGCCCTGGACTGAGACATGGCGGCAAGAGCCCCATGGGTGTGCGGTAGCAGGGAGAGTCAATGAGCCGCAACTGCACTTGGTGGTTTGGAGAATCCCCAAATAACGTCTGAGGACACTGGCGACTGCAGTGCAGGTGACTGTGACAGGGCATGACTTTGCTTCTGACTAGTGTGTGTTCCTGAGCCAGTGCCTCAGTTTCCTCACCTGCGGCAGGGGTCGGGGGGCGGTGGTTATGCCCCTGCCTCATGGGGTCATGAGGACTTGATGGGGTTATCAGGGTAATGCCTGTGACCCGGGGTCTGACTGGGTAGAAGGCGGCAGCTCTCTGGAAGGTGTTTCTGGGGAGCTGAAGGCCTGCAGGGCCAAGGGCCAGGACAGGCACAGCCCCTGGTGGGGTGTTCCTGCTGCCCCCAGGCCTCACATGGAACACCCCCCTCCACCAAGCCACGACACGCAGTTGTTTAGGAGAGAGCCTGTTGGCCCGGTCTGGGAGGGAAAGGGGTCCTGGCGTGAGGTGTCCTGTTGCAGAGATAGCGACAACCACGTGGTGAGGTGAGAGGGGAAGTTTCCAGGAAGGAGGAGCCTGGGCCCGTGATTCATAACAATACTACACGGGCCAGCAGGTGGCTGACTATAGTTCTTAAGGCACTGGACTCCCATGTGGCTGACCATAGTTCAAGTCCTGGACCTGGTAGCTTCAAACACTGGGGGGTGTATGTGTGTGCCCAAAATCCCACGAGAAGAAGGGATTGTGGCATGGCCATTCCCCCAGGGGGGTGATTTCTTGCTTTCTGTCTCTCTGTTCCTTTGTCTCTCTCCGTGTTTCTGGTGAGCGTGCACACCTATAGCAAAAATCTCTCAAAAAAAACATCACCATGAATTGGCTATGCATAGGGCTGGCTGTGGGAGGAGGAGGAGTCAAAGGGGAGCAGGTGGAGGGGAGAGATTTCAGTCGGGAGAGAGGCACTGAGGTACGGAGTCTGCTGCAGCTGGAAACTAGACATGGGTTCAGAAAGGGGACTGAAGTGGCAGGTGGGTCCTGTGGTGCTGACTGGCTAGAAAGCTGGGTGGGGGGCTTTGCTATTTGTGGTTGGACAAGACAGAATGAGCCTGAGCTGGGAGGACCTGGTCGGGTTCAGGAGGGAGGCCAGAGGCTCTGGCCTCCCGGGGCCTTGCAGCCACACTCACCCTGTTCTCCTCCGTGGCAGGTGCTGGTTGCGCAGCTCCCTAGCACACGCGGTCCTGGTTATGGGCTATGGTGGCCTCACGTGTCTCTTCAACCTGGTGGTGCTGACCTGGGCTCTGCAGGCCCTGCGCAGGCTGCGGGTGCAGAGGAGGGCGCCAGGTGCCCGGGCCTGCCAGGACACTGTCACCGTGCTGGGCCTCACCGTGCTGCTGGGCACCACCTGGGCCCTGGCCTTCTTCTCCTTCGGCGTCTTCTTTCTGCCCCAGCTCTTCCTCTTCACCATCTTCAACTCGCTCTATGGTAAGGCCTGGGGCTGCCCTGGTGGGAGCTCCAGGGTCATGTGCAGCTAGACGAAGCCCATAGCCCAAGGGTTTCCGGTAGCTCCCATGCTCCACCCAGGGGAAAGGGTGCTGGCTTCCAACAGTGAGGGATTCTGGGAGTTCCCTGGGGCTCAGGGAGGCCCAACTCACTGCAGCTGTGGAGCTGCCTAGTGCTGGCGTGAATTGTGGCATGGCCATTCCCCCAGGGGGGTGATTTCTTGCTTTCTGTCTCTCTGTTCCTTTGTCTCTCTCCGTGTTTCTGGTGAGCGTGCACACCTATAGCAAAAATCTCTCAAAAAAAACATCACCATGAATTGGCTATGCATAGGGCTGGCTGTGGGAGGAGGAGGAGTCAAAGGGGAGCAGGTGGAGGGGAGAGATTTCAGTCGGGAGAGAGGCACTGAGGTACGGAGTCTGCTGCAGCTGGAAACTAGACATGGGTTCAGAAAGGGGACTGAAGTGGCAGGTGGGTCCTGTGGTGCTGACTGGCTAGAAAGCTGGGTGGGGGGCTTTGCTATTTGTGGTTGGACAAGACAGAATGAGCCTGAGCTGGGAGGACCTGGTCGGGTTCAGGAGGGAGGCCAGAGGCTCTGGCCTCCCGGGGCCTTGCAGCCACACTCACCCTGTTCTCCTCCGTGGCAGGTGCTGGTTGCGCAGCTCCCTAGCACACGCGGTCCTGGTTATGGGCTATGGTGGCCTCACGTGTCTCTTCAACCTGGTGGTGCTGACCTGGGCTCTGCAGGCCCTGCGCAGGCTGCGGGTGCAGAGGAGGGCGCCAGGTGCCCGGGCCTGCCAGGACACTGTCACCGTGCTGGGCCTCACCGTGCTGCTGGGCACCACCTGGGCCCTGGCCTTCTTCTCCTTCGGCGTCTTCTTTCTGCCCCAGCTCTTCCTCTTCACCATCTTCAACTCGCTCTATGGTAAGGCCTGGGGCTGCCCTGGTGGGAGCTCCAGGGTCATGTGCAGCTAGACGAAGCCCATAGCCCAAGGGTTTCCGGTAGCTCCCATGCTCCACCCAGGGGAAAGGGTGCTGGCTTCCAACAGTGAGGGATTCTGGGAGTTCCCTGGGGCTCAGGGAGGCCCAACTCACTGCAGCTGTGGAGCTGCCTAGTGCTGGCGTGAAACCCATGCTGCTCTGTGGCCCTCCCGCTAACCAGCTTTGTGCTTGCAGGTTTCTTCCTCTTCCTGTGGTTCTGCTCCCAGAGGTGCCGCGCAGAGGCAGAGGCCAAAGCCGAGGCAGAGATGGAGGCCTTCAGCTCCTCCCAGACGACACGATAGCTTGAGCCTCCAGACCTGGAACCCTCTGCCTCACCTCTCCGTCTGCCTGCAACCCGCGCTCTGACTCCTACCAGAGAAGGTAGCAGGCTTGCTGCTGCTGATGCCAGAGGCCGTCCTGCCCCCGGGAAGCTTTTCCACCTCTGTGACCTTCCCAAGCACAGAGGGCGGGCCACTGCGCTGTCTCCCCTGGTGCTCTGCTTTGGGATGTGTCCCACCCCACCTGGCTGCTGTGAGCTTTGTCCTGCTGCCTGGGCTGGCCAGGCCTGTGGACGGAGCACGGGCCGGGGAGCCAGGAGGCCTGGCTCTGAGTCTCTTCTCATGGACCTCAGTTTCCATGTCTGTGACATAGGGACAAGTGGCACTGGTCTTGCCTAACACACGAAAACTGAAATCAGACCAGGGAGGAGACATGTCAGAGTGGAGTGGGATTTCTTATGAACGCCACTGGCCTGCTGGGGATGGGGTCTTGAGCAGCCTGCCCTGGAAGCACCTGCTGGTCCCTGATACCTTTCTCCTGAAGAGGGCCAGGTGACATCTCAGCCTGGGGTCCCCACCAGTGCTTAGAGACCCACTTGGTGTCAGGATTCACCAGCCTTTGCCTGGGTCCTCTTTTCCTTTAACCCCTCTAGATAGGATGACCCAAACCCTAAGCCCACCCTTCCCAAAGATAGGAAGTCCAGTCCTGCCCAGAGGCTGCAAATCTGACGCCCCCATCACCGCTGCCTTCCCTCCTCCTGCTCTTCCTCCTCCATCACCAGCAAAGATCAGGACGCCTCCTAGCTGAGCCAGCGGGACGCCAGTGGCTGGCTATTTAAAGACTGGACAGGATTGCATTTCCTCTGGTAGGATGAGGGTGCGGATTCGAAATCCCAAGTTTTCGCCACAGTCATGGGCACCCTAGCCCTAGACCTGGCGTCAGACTGCGCTCACGGAGCCAGTGCTTTTCCCAGGATGAACACCAGGGGGCGCTGATGATCTACGTGCACAGGCCTTTGGTGCTAACCCTACGTCTGGAAACGCGGCAAAGTTCTGCGGACTTGATGGGCCGGCCGGCTGGAGGGGCTGCTTACCTCCAGGACTGCCTGCTGAGGAGACTGCAGGAGGAAATGCCACTCCTGCTTCCATGGCCATTTGTCCCTTCCCAGTGCGGCTGTCTGCTCTTGGGGCTTGCTCCTGACATAGAGCAGAATGGCGGGCAGGCTTGACTCCCAGGGCCATCAGTCAGATCTTATGACTGTCTCAGGGAACTGGGGCTGGATCCCTTTTCTCCCAGGAGCATCCTCTGCCCTTCCCTACATTTAAAATATATTTTTATTTTTATTATTTTTAGTTTGCTATAGTGCACATGTGCTCACCAGAGACAGAGAGAGAGAGAGAGGATGTGAGAAATAACCCCACAGGGAATGGCCACACCACAATCCTTTCTCCTGTATTGTCCTCTTGGGATTTTGAGCCTACATACACACATGCCCCACATGTTTTTCTAGCCGCCAGGTCGGGGATTTGAACCGCACAGTCGGCCATGTGGGATTCAGCCACCTTAACGACCATGCAACCTGCTGGCCCCCCTCTACATTGGTTCAATTAGCCCTTCACCAGCTGGTGAGTGGTGCCGGCTCTGGAGCCAGAATGTCTAGGCTCAAACGCCAGCTCTGCTATTTGTCAGCTGTGTGACTGTGAACGAGTCACTCAGCCTCTCTGAGCCTTTGTCTTCCCATCTGTGAAAGAGGGGCAGTGGCAGTACTTCTTTTGAAGATTAGCTACAAGAATTCCTATAAAGAGGCTTACAAGGTATAAACACTCAACAGTGGTTGGTATTATTGTTACTAGTACTTCTGCTATTGTTGTGCTGTCAACCGAGTCTCACAGGTGGACCTCTCTGAGCCCCAGGGCCAGGTCTGCTCAGAGGCCCCGTTCCTCCCTAGCATGTCCTGCCATCCCTCAGTTTTGTCACCCCCTCTCCCCTGTCCCAGAGGGGCCTCTGCTCCAGCCTTGCTGGCCTTTGCCGTTCTAGGAATGCCCCCCACATGGCACAGTCTCCAGGTGTCACCTCATAGCCCCTCCCCTCAACTGCCCAAACTTCTGATCTGTTTAATTCCGGGTGTTCATCTATGTCTTTCGTGAACTGTCTCCATCTGCTCACAGAGAAGGCCCCCGTCCTCCCTTCTCCATCGGGCGACGTGAGCAGCCCTGAGTTGGACCAGGTTCCCCAGACCTTGGGTGCTCCCATGCTAATGAGGATGCCAAGGGATCATGGGAACTTGGGTGGCCAGGTTCCCACTGTGGCTGGGAATGGTGAAGCCGGGGAAGCTGGGCCTGGGCAAGGACCCCATGGCCCAGAGGCTGCGCTTAGAGCCCGCCAAGCCCAGCAAGGGAGGATGTGGCTACGGTGACATGGGATGAGTCTGGCAGTTCCCGGAAATGATACCAAGCTTGTGGCCCTAAACCCCATGGGTGTAGAGTCTGGGCAGGGACCACTTCCTGGAAATGTCCCCCTTGGCATGGGGGAAGGGACTGAGGGAGCCAATGTGGAACCAGGCTGATCCCTCCCTTCCCTTAGTTGTGGAACCAGGCTGATCCCTCCCTTCCCTTCCCCTCCCCCCCAGAGTCCTGGCTAAGCCCAGAACAGGTGCTGGGTCCAGCTCTTGGGGGCTTCCAGGCTGGGCGGGAAGACGGAACACACAGAGTCTGGTGTTTGCTATCAGGGACAGGTACCCAGAGGAGGCCATGCGTGAGTAAAAACAGTAGGTGCCAGAGGTGCCACCGATTAGGAGGCCTCTGTGTGTCCTGCTATGGTATTTCAGAAAGGCAGTGTGTATATGTGTGTGTGTGGAGGGTCTGGAAAATGGGTTGCTGGGCAGCCAGTGGCCTAGCGTTTCAGGGACCTGACTCTGACATAGCCTCACCCTCTCTCTCGTCTCTCCGTCTCTGACAAGCACACATCCCCTCTAGCAATAATTTTAAAAAGAAGAAGGAGAGTAGCCAGATAAGATACAGGATGCCGATTTTGGAGACGTACTAAACCATTATCTATTGTTTATCTGAAAAGCAAGTTTAGCTGGGTGTCCAATCTATTTTTACTTTTGCTAGATCTGCTGAATCTCAACTCTAGTGGAAGGAGCCCTGGCTCAGGGGCCTGGGGTGTGGATTCTTTATTCCTCAAAACCAACTCAAATGGTGCTGCCCAGGCCCTGGGCAGCCCCTCTGCCCACCAGGTGAGGCCCTCGTTGACAGCCAACTAGACTTGATGCTTCTCCCGAAGTTCCATACCACCAGCCAACACCACCACGGGAGACCCCCCAGATGGCTGCCTCGGGGTGCCCCCACGGTATCAGCCACGGCACAGACCTGGCCTCCATCCCCCGCAGAACCTCTTCACAGGCTTCCCTGCCTCCCTACTCTCAGTTCCAATTTGACCAGAAGCCAGAGAGGATTTTTCTGCCTGTAGCCTGACCACGTCCTCTCCTGCACTCTCCCCTCCTCACTGCCAGACTCCCCATGGGAGCTTAAAGGCCCTGGGGGTCTGACCTGTGAGCCCCTCTCCAGCCCACCTCCTGCCATTCCTCTCTTGGCCTGTTTGATCCTTCTGCACTGAACTGATGCCAGGTCCCTGAACAGGTGCTTTCTCCTTTCTGGACAATTCTATATATTTTTTTTTTTAAAGAGAGATTTTTGCTATAGGGCACTTGCACTTGCCAGAGAGATATAGAGAGAGACAGGAAGTGAGAGAGAGGCTGGCCACGCTGCAATCACTTCTCCTTTCTCTTCTCAGGATCTTGGGCACGCACGCACACGCCCCTGGCGTGAGTTTTAAGCCACCAGGTTGGGAACTCCAGCTGCAGTGGACTACATGAGAATCCAGATACATAACCAGGATGCCATCTGCTGTCCCCCTGGGCTATTCTCTTTGTGTGGAACACGCTCCCTCGTGCCTTTCATAGGAATGACGACCACACGTCCCTACTGTCTCAGCTTTGCACATCCCATTCTCCTCCAGTCCAGACAAGGGAGTAAGCTTTTTTTTTTTTTTTTTTTTTTTTGTGTCACCATCACTTTATTCTCCTTAATTTAATATGCATAAACTGGGCCTGCAATTACCAGACAAAGATCTTCCATCTCACCAAGCTCTGGTATTGAGTTTGAGCCTTGGGCTTTGTAGCCTCAGTATCACATCTAATAATATAAAAAGGCTTAATGGTAATGGAGACAGTTTATCAGCATTTTATTCTGTGAAGTAAAAGAAGTAAAAACAGATACAACTGTCTATTGCTAATTTGTAGAAAGCAGAGGACATTCTAATAGTACCCCTGTACCCCACTTCCTCCCCAAATAGAGGGAAACTTAATGGAGCCTTTTTTTTTCCATCACTTGGGCCTGGAAGGTGAAAACTTTGCATCTGACCTTCAGTAAAATAAAGACATCTGGGAACCACTGTTACACATAAGTTTAAATCTAGTAATTATCTCTTTTCCTACTCGATTTCCTTTATTTTTACTACCTTTTGTCTTCCTAGGTTGTTGTACAACCTTGGACAAGTCAGTTAGCCTCTCGGATTATTTTTTTAAAGAAGTTATTTAATTTTATTTTTTTATCTTTTTTTTTCATTTTTATCATTTTTTATTTTATTTATTTTATTTTATTTTTTTAAAATTTTCTATAGGGCATGTGTGCTCACAAGATGAAGACAGAGAGTGAGAGAGAGAGAGAGAGAAAAAAACCTACCAGGTCTGGGACTTGAACTGTAGTTGGCCATGTGGGACAGTGGTTATCACAGTGCCTTAATCACCACGCAACCTGTTGGACCCAAGCTCTCTGATCTTTATTTCCTATGTTGGTGAAGTTACTACAAGGATTAAATTAGTTACATATACCCAGGACTTTAGATATGCTTATGGTCAAAGCTGACATGTCCTGGAGCACCTTGGTTGAGACTGTCCTAGGAACTGGGAAAATATTGAGCCTTTAAAGAGTCATAAGTGAAACAAGACAGTAATATAAGAAAAGTCCAAAGAGCCTACTGGCCTCTTTACCTTCTGCCCAGAAGGACATTCTACGCTTTCTGTTTTACTGTACAAGGTCTTGCTTTCAAGCAAAGAGCCTATCCAGGAAAGTCAAATCTGCCATAAAACATTAAGTGGATGAAGTCTGTCTTAAGAACCTGGGTGCTGAGATACATTAAGAAGCCTTAAAAATCTAAGGAGCTGGTGAAATCTAAAGGGGCCCCAAGAACCTCTTGCACACTGCATGGTCATTTTTTAGGTTTCTTCTGAGTGTGTGAGGCACAAGTGATGCTAAGCAATACAAGACACTAGGCCACCAAGAAACCCCTTCAGCTTAACTAGGCACATATATATAGACCATAGTAGACTTGGCATCAAGAAAGTTTAAAATGATCTCAAAAGTTTACTTCTACTCAACAGGTTTTGTGATTTTTAAACACTGCAAAGAAAGTAATCAGCTTTATTGTTGACTAGGAAAACTACAGACAGACAGGGCTATCTGTACACAAAACAGGGAAAGATTAAGCAATATTACCTTGTTGAAAACTCTCATTTTTAGACTTTGCCCCAGACTCTTATTCCATAAGAGATCCTCTGTAAAATAGAGGTTATAAATTGGAGGCCATGAGATGAATGCAGCTTGTATGTTCTGTTTGGCCTTAGGGTTAAATAAATCCTTTGAGGTAATATTTAGAATTTTTACATTAAAAAAAAAAAATCTAGATTTCCAGGTTCTCTTTAAAGTTCTAAGATATGTGGCCCTAAGTTTATAGTGGCCCAGGAGAGCAACTTGTTCTAGCTGATAGAAGCTTCCTTTAAAAGTGTTACATGTTGGAACCAGAAGGCAGCAAGGTGGTTTAGGCGCTGGATTCCTACCTGGCAGAAGCTGATTCCCAGACTCAGCGACTTGAAAACTATGCTGGGGGGGCGTGCCTGGGTACCCAAAAATCCTAGGAGAAGAATGGGTGAAGAGATTGCCGCCTGGTCATTCCCCTGGGGAATGGTTTCTCAGTTTCCCTCTTTCTCTTCTGGATAGCCCACACGTCCTATGCCCCCCCACCCCGGGGGTGAGTGTGAAAACAGGAGTGTTACGCGTCTTCTATCTGTGAACCCTTACCATTCGCAACATTTTTGATTGTGTACCTGTAGTTAGGGGCATTAAGTGAGAGGAAGGTCCAGTTACCTCGCGGTGGCCAGAGGCAGCCCGGGAGGGTAGTTTTTAGCGAGGCCTGCAGGAAATGACTGGGTGAATCACACGTCGAGCCTCCCTCCGGCTCCTTACCTGTGAAATGGGGCTGATGATGGGCAGCTGTGAGAACGGGGAACCGAGTGTGCGGACAGAGGGCCCGAACACCGTTTCAGGGCACGTGCCCGGTGCCATCCATGCTAACGTCGTGGCCTCGCC